CGCTAGCTACCTAGGGGCGTATATAATAAGTTACGCCCTTATTTAAATAGCTAGCCGGCCGATAAGTATAGAGCTTAGTTCTAGCTACTTAGGCTAATAGGCGCGGGGATAATAAGGCTAGTAAGGCTAGTACGATTAACGGAAAAGGGTAGGGTAGAGCTAGTAGCACGGGCCCTATAGTATAGAAGCCGTTAATAGGGCAACGCCGCGCCGCGCTTAAGGGAGGGCATTATATAAGAGTCTTTAACTATTATAGGTTATAGGCTTAGGCTACGGCCTAAGCCATATAGTTACGTATAGAGGGCCGGATCCTATATATATATATATAGGCTAGCCGCGTATAGGAGAGCTTTATATAGCTTATTAATATTATCTTATAGACGGTACCTATACGTATACTTTTACCTACTCCGTAATAAGCTCTAGCTAATAAGAGATCGTTACTTAGGCCGCTCCTTAAAATAAGTAGGCTAATATTAATAATAAGGCCTAGCTAAACAAGGGCTAAAACGATCTTAATACCTAGCTAAATAAAGGCTAAGATAATAATAATAGTAATAATAAAGATAGCCGCGATCTACCTCCTCTTATTAATAAACCTAAAAATAGTAGCGCTAGAGATAAAGGTACCTAAGTAGTAGTATAAGGCGGTAGCGCTTTTATAAAGAAGTATACTTAATTTAAGGCTAAAGCTTACTTAGTTAAGGCTTATAAGGTTATCCCTTATAAGCTTTAGTATATATATTATTTTAGGATAGTTATTAAGGAGTATAATATAACTAAGCCTAAGCTTATTAAAGTACTCTTAATTAGTTATATTTTCTTAGGGGTTTCCTCGATATACTATAAGTAATATTATAGATATACCGCGACCTATAACTAAGTAAGTTTCCCTTTAACTTTAAATATTATAATTAATAAGCTAATCTTTCTTAAGGCCGCTACTCTTATATTTAATAACTAGGCTAATATAGTCGCTATTATTAAGTACTTATATAAGCTTAATAAGCTAAAGACTAGTAATAAGGATACTAAGGATAATAGCTTAGATATAAGCGTACTTATTTTTAAGGAGGCTAATTAGCGCTATCTTATTATTATAGTATAGTATTTAGCTAAGGCTTTTAACGCCGCTAAGATAGCCTATTATAAGTCCTTTAAGACTATAGGTATATAGAAGTTTACTATTATAAGTTTTATCTAACCCTTTTATTAGCAACCGCCTAATAATATACTAGGTTAAGTATACTAACTATTATATACTAATTAATAAGCGCTATAAGCTTATTATTTACTTTAACCTTATACCCCTATTTAATATTACTAATATAAGCCTAGAGTACTAAGCCTAGGAATCTTAGTTAAAACTCTACTTTATTAACGGCGATATAAGCTATACTTTATAGTAATATACCTTACTATTTACTAAGTATAAGGGAATATATATTACGGTATAATTAGTTAGGTAATAGAGATAGCTAGAGGTACTACGCTATATATATTACGTTCTCCTTATTATAAGACTAAAGCTTATAAGAAGAGGGATTTTTTCCTTTTTAGCCGGAGTAGTAAGAGGTCTATAATATATAAGCGGGGTAAGTACGATTCCCTATTAATACCCTACCGATATATTAGTACTATATACTTTAACGGTAACTACGGTATATACCTAAAGATATACCTATGCTAACGGCAATAGTAGTAGCTAGATACCGAAGGACGAGGGGGTCTAAGGGGAATAAAGGAAAAGAGAAAAGTACTAAGCAAGGTAAGGTAAAGGCAAAGAGGGCTAAAAAAGGTATATTAGCGGAGAAAAGATATAGAAGAAGATAATGCTAAATAATAATGTCTGCTAGCTAAGGAGGAAAGGAGACCTCTTTTATAGACCGAATTTTCCCTCTTTTTTTCTTAGACGAATAGGGGCTAAGGGATTATTTAATTAAGAAGAGGGCTAGCTAGAGACTCTACTAAGGATCCTACTAAGGACCCTACTAAGGACTCTACTACGCGGGCTATATATTCCTTAGGGTATAGATACCCCCGTTAAAGTAGCTCGTTATATTTTATCCTAAAAGGATATTCGAAATACTTATCTTATACGAAAAAAGGCATTTATTATTATAATAGAAATTTTTCGATAGCGGAGTTCGATAGCCTTAAGGTTTAAAAGAATCGTCTTTAGGTTAATGCCTAATCTAAGCGCTAAGAGGTCGGTCGGCTCGCGGCTATAGCGGCCGCCGCGTATACCGCTCTTATAAGGGCGTAGTAAAAAGAGATCGATATCTTTTCTTAAATTAATCGATACTCTAAGGCATAGTTATATATATTACGCTAAGAGCTTTATACGTTAGACGAGTTAGACTTATCGTCGACCCCTAAAATAGCGGTTTTAGATAACGCTTTTCTATAGTCGGAACTAGACTTATAGCTATAGTCTAACGGCGTTACTACTAGTATTGCTAATAGAACTATCGGAGTAGAGAACTATAGTAGGTTAAGTGCTTAAGTAGTTCCTAAGTATTCTCTTTTAATCTATAATCTTTCTATTTAATAAGGTATTCTTATTACTAACCTTATTTTCTTATATCTAGTATTTATTTTACTTTATATTCTTAATTATTATTAACTTTAATTTTTCTTTATAGTTTAGTATTTTATAGTACTAGTTTTAATAGTAAGATATAAAATATTAGGTATATCTATATTATTATTAATAGCGAAAGTTTATAGTTAACTTTTAAAATAGTTTTCTTAACCTTAAATAGTCTAAGTTTCTTAAAATCTAATTTATTACTTAGTTATTTTATTTTAATATTTCGTTATATAAGGTAGACTATATCTCCTTTTTAAAAGATTAATCCCTATAATCTTTTCCGATTATAGTAAGTAAATATTCGTTCTCTAATAAATTAAAGTTCTTATTATATTTCTTTATATAATTTTTATAGCTAATCTACTTATAGTATCGCTCGTTCTACTTATAGTCCTTATTAAGTAACCTTAAATACTTTTAGGTTATATCTATAATTAGCGTATACTAATAAAAGCTTAGTTATTTCCGTAACTAAGCTATTATAAGCTAGTTACGCTATTAATAGCTATTTAACTTAATTGTTTTATTTATAGCTAATATTGTGGGAATGTAGCATATAGCTATAGTAGGATTGTAAGGGAGGTGCGCACACACGCACACGTGACCCTTAGCGTCACGTGTATGGACCTCGGGGATCCGTGTATAAAGGGCACGTAGTGTGCCCCCTCATTCCCTTTCCTCCCTTCCTAGCAAGACATCTTGAATACAACCCATTGCGTTACTGCAGTACAGACCTCCCGACACTGATCAGTGATCGATTTGGTCGATCACAGATTGGCAAGGAAGAAGAGATAGAACGCAACCTTCGAAAGCCCAACTACCATATTCCTAGCGATATTGCCCTGGTTGGACCTAGAGGAGGTTTCTATGCTAAGATCAAGGACTCTACGATTACCCGGACCCGGCAACCAACTAGCTCCCGGTAGGCCATTGATAGATCCTTCCAACTTCACTTAACGGTTACATTAAGTGTAAGTGCGTCCACAACGCCGATTCGACAACTACGTGACAGCCCTCACGATTCGACAACTACGTGACAACCCTCACAATGACAAGCACGACCCCAACCCCGAACCCCGCCTCTACGAGGAACGACGCCTTCCTCGACCAAGTAGGGAATTGGTCCAAAATCTCACGATCCCAAAGACCCAATATCAGGATATCGATCCGACCCGATGGGAGGATGAGATCACGCCACAAGAGGAAGATAGAATAGCTGTTATGACATATACCGCACGATTTATGTCAGAATGCGAGGAGAACGTACACCTTCATGGCACTAATATCCTTGAATTCTTCCAGGATCACTTCCAACAGTGGACCGAGGCAACGTGGAGAAAGATGCCAAAGGAATTTCGAAGGAGCTACGTTACCTTTTAAAGAGACGTGGTATCTATACAGGAGAAAAGGGTGACCACATCATCCCACAGCTCGTCTTCCTACAGACGATCGATAACCCACCAGCCTGGCCCGACAACGAATTCATGGTAACCCAATTCGATAAAGGAACGGAGGCCTATACAAGAAAAGAGAGACGACTAACGCAGAACCCTCCCACCTCCAACACGGCGGAGCCATCCACGCCGTTAGCCCCTATTCCGACGCTCCCTGCTCCTCCCGCTACGACAATTGCGGAACCGCCCACAACGACTGCTACGCTTCCCAACGAACAATACATCCTACAAGCTATCAGTTCCAGCAACAGAGCATCGTTCTAGCAGAACCCTCTTCTCCCACATCCCTCGAAGCGTACACAACGCTTCCCGGCCGACATCCCGAACGACATCGTCGATGCCGACACACAACAGAAATTCACCAAGATCTGGGACAAAGAGAAGAACTATACGGGGAACCCTATGACCTTCTCGATGATAAGCTACGCATCTTTATGAGTATCTGTTATAACATTCAGGTCAAGCCGGACCAATTCCACGCTCTTTTCCTCGAATCCTTACTGGCCGAGCCCAAACGTACTACATTGACCACGTTAACTGGACCTCAACGTTCCGCAAGGCATACGATAGCATCAAGCAACATTTCGATACGGAAGTTAACCACGTTCACTACTATACTGAATGGACGACTATTTCCTTTAACAAGCTCCGTGCCGATAATGCTACGAAATCCCTACACGAGGTTCTTCAGCTACTCCTTGATAAGCTACAGTTATGCCAACGAGCTCTTGGCAACGCGTATGCAGGAAACGTTCCACTGCGTACAACGCTTATTAATGCATGCCGCGGTGTTCCTGAACTTGAATACGCTTTATTCAAGCCCGCCGAAGGAATCGAGCCCTTTTGCAGATCTTCGCTCTTCCGTTGAGACCCATCTTGCACGCGGAATAGCGCCTCGTTATCTTCAAGGAGGCCCTCAATACCATCAAGACCTCGAGGAACCATCTGATCATATGGATCCCAATGACCACTACTATCTCGATCGAAGATACAACAACAATCGCGGAAGATTTGGTCAGAAGGGGTATAGAAGGTATAGAGGCAACGCTCAACGAGGCAGCTACAACGCTCCACGGGAATCTTCAATAGTCAACGCTTTAACCGCCCACAAGGCCGTTACGGCCACAACCACCCGTGGAATAAGAAGTGCTTCGTCTGCAATAAGGAAGGATGTTGGTCTACAAAGCACACTGCCGAGGAACGTCAAAGATCCTGAGACCAATACGTCGCCCACTGTCACTTCATAGGGATTACCTCCCCAGGACCTTACAGCCTACGTTCTTGACTTTGAAGGTCACGAGATGGATGCCCACGATGATGCTAACGACCCTGGGACGAGGACGACAATGAAGATAATGACAACAACCCAGAACAGTGGCACACAAGCCAAATGCTCTGCCAGCAAGCCTTCAACCATCTGATCACAGGGGAAGACGTGTATAGCACCTCTCAAAACAACGCTACACCTGCTTCCCAATTCATGATAGAGGAGCGCTACTCAAGACTCCGATTCCAGGGCATCATAATTGACACAGGCGCCGCGAAGGTTTCCACAGCTGGCTACGACCAATGCATCGCTCTACAACGAGCAGACCCTGCTATAACGCTCGATAAGACTACAGCAGGCCAAGCTTCTATCAAATTCGGCAACGGCGAAGCCATTCTATCCTCGGCTCTATCGCCCTTAAAACACCTCTCGGAAGGATCACATTCCATATCCTCAAGACCCCTACTCCCTTCCTCCTCTCTCTCGCTGATATGGATCGCCTAGGCATCTATTTCAACAACCTTACAGACACTATTGTCGGACGAACAACCCTCCCGGTTATCCGCAAATGGGGACATCCTTGGTTCCTCCTACCTAAGACCAACGAGGCCGCTATCGCATTCCTCACGGAGAGCGAGATCCGCACTCTTCATCGTCGATTCGGGCACCCAGCGGTCCCAAGACTTCACAACCTCCTACGGCAAGCTGGCCACAACGATGTGACGATAGATATCCTAGAGAACATCTCGAGATTCTGTCATCACTGTCAAATGCACTCTCAAGCTCCAAGACGCTTCAAATTCACCCTAAAGGATGACCAGGAATTCAACTACGAAATCGTCGCTGATGTGCTCTACCTTGGAACCCTCAACGCCCCGTCTTGCACGTGGTAGATACAGCAACAGCGTTCCAAGCAGCCAGGTTCCTCCTATCGATGTCAGCAAAGGATACGTGGGAAGCCCTCCGAGCCCTCTGGATAGACACATATCTCGGACCCCCTGATACTATCAAGCACGACGCAGGGACCAATTTTGCCTCCCTAGAGTTCCGTAACGAGGCAAAGCTTATGGGGATAACCTGCAAGCAAGTCCCTGTGGAAGCACATTGGTCCGTTGGAAAGGTTGAAAGATATCATGCCCCTCTCCGCCGTGCGTTTGAGATCCTCCACGCAGAAATCGGGACCTTCACATCCCCCGAATCGATCCTTCAAATGGCTATCAAAGCCATCAACGACACAGCAGGGCCAAATGGCATTGTCCCTACGCTCCTAGTCTTTGGCGCCTACCCTCGAATGGCGTTAGATTCGCCCCTTCTGCTACGACCCTGAAAGGGCTGCCGCAGCCCAGAAAGCGATGAAAATGCTTCGTCAGCTCTCAGCAGAGCGGCAAGTGCAGGGCGCCTTACACACAAAGAACGGACCATCATCAACAGGCGTTATACTATCGCTCCCACTGCAAAGCGAGGTCCGAGTGTGGAGAGAAAGCTCGGCTGGCAAGGCCCTTTTAAGATTAGTGCAATTGATGGCTCCAATGTCACAATTGATACTATCAACGGACCCCAGACCTTCCGTTCCACCCTTGTGCAGCCTTATTTCCGCGACGAGACGACGATCCCTGCCCCGCTGCTGCTGCTGCGGATGATTCTGACATTCCTGTTTCTGATCCTGCGAGCGATTCTGTTCCTGTTTCTGCCCCTGCCCCTGCCCCTGTTCCTGCTCCTAATCCCCCGGCGCCGCGCAAGCGAGGCCGCCCCCCTGGTTCGAAGAACAAGCCAAAGACGACGTTCCTAGTCAAGAAGGAAGAAGATGCCTACCAACTAGCCATCAAGCTACGGGACGAAGGCATTATCACAACGCCAGGCACCCTTTGAGGAATCCGATAGCACGGAGATCGATGATCTATTGGTACGAGGAGTGTTTAGCTTCGAACGCTACAATGAAGCAAAGCACGGGAACCATCATATCTTCCGCTCCCGCATGGTCCGCGAGGTTAAAGGCAAAGAAACCAAACCATACGAGAAGTCAAGGCTCGTGGTCCAAGGGCACAACGACCAAGAGAAAACCACCCTATTGACGCAATCCCCGACAATTCAACGCGTCAGTCAACGGCTTATTTCTGCTATCTCCCCAGACCTCCTTTCTCACGGCATGACCCTCTCTCTTCGTGACATCACACAAGCGTATCCCCAGGCGCAGACCGAACTATTCCGCACCATTCTCACGCATCTTCCCGCCGAATTAGAAGGAAGATACCCGGAAGGAACAATCATTCGCGTTATTAAGCCCCTATACGGAATTGCGGAGGCCGGAGTCCATTGGTTTCGAACCTATCACGGGCATCATGTCGATAACCTCGACATGTCCACATCAACCTACGACCTATGCTTCCTAATTACGAATAAGGGACCTGATAACTTTGGGATTGTGGGAATGCAGACTGACGATACCCTTATGCTTGGCACACAACGTTTTTCCGCGCTAGAGGAAGCGGAACTCGTAAAGGCACAATTTCGGGCAAAGCCGAAGACAACGATGACCCCGGTACTAGCATTGACTTCAACGGTGCAAAGATAACCCTCCAAGACACCACTTTCCACAACGCTCTACTGCTTCAACAAAGGGTCAAGCAGCCAAGATCGAACCCATCGACATCAAGGCATACGATCGAGCCCAACAGTACGTGGAACAGCGTGCCCGTGGCGCGTATGTGGCTTCAATCTGTCAACCAGAGGCCTCATTCGACATCTCTATTGCTGCCCAGGTCCAAACCCCTACGGAAGAGGATTGCACGACCTCAACAAGCGGCTTCAATGGCAGAAAGACCACCAGCAGCGAGGCCTAACGTATATCCCTATTGACCTCGCCAATGCCAAGCTTATCGTCTTTACCGACGGTTCCTTTGCGAACAATAAGGACCTATCGTCACAGCTAGGCTTCGTCATTGCCCTAGTCAATGAGACCGAGACCGCACGTACCAAAGACCAATTCGGGATCAAGGGCAATGTCCTCCATTGGAGCTCAACGAAGTGTAAGAGGGTCACCCGAAGCGTGCTAGCATCAGAGATCTACGGCATGGTCAACGGATTCGATATTGGGATATCACTAGCAACGACGATACGGAAGATCACAGACCGCCTCAATCTTCCCCCTATCCCCCTAATCGTTTGCACCGACTCTTTTTCCCTCTACGAGTGCCTCGTTAAGCTAGGCACAACGAAGGAGAAGCGATTGATGATAGATATCATGGCCCTACGTCAATCCTACGAAAGGCGTGAGATCACAGAAATCCGCTGGATTAACGGCGCAGACAACCCAGCAGATGCTATGACAAAGGCATCGCCTAACCGCGCCCTCGAACGCCTCGTCGATACGAATAGCCTTACGATTAGGATAGAAGGATCAGTCGAACGCCCTCCCCGCTAGCTGCCGCTCGAACCGTCACTCTTTTCGCACCCTTGCGGTTGCTGCTACGCTCCCGCACCTGCTGCTACTGCTGCGATTGCAGCGATAAAAGAAGATTTTTGCCAGTGTGGGAATGTAGCATATAGCTATAGTAGGATTGTAAGGGAGGTGCGCACACACGCACACGTGACCCTTAGCGTCACGTGTATGGACCTCGGGGATCCGTGTATAAAGGGCACGTAGTGTGCCCCCTCATTCCCTTTCCTCCCTTCCTAGCAAGACATCTTGAATACAACCCATTGCGTTACTGCAGTACAGACCTCCCGACAAATATAGTATTATAAATATTATTTAAGCGTTTAGTTAAGTCGTTTTATTTATCTATTTATTTATAGGTAATAAGCTATACTAAGCTTATATTTCGTCTTTAATTATACTATAAGAGCTTACTAAAACTTAGCTATAAATATACTTCCTTTATTAAAGATAATCTTATTTAATAGTCTATAATTACTAATAATTATTTATAGGAATATATATATTAGCTCTTCTATATTACTTACTTCTTTATATAGTAAGAAGTATTTATACTTCGTTAGTTTATCGGTAATAATAAATATACTATTATACTTAACGTTAATTATAGGTTCTTTTAATAGTAGTAGCTTTATAATATAGTCGAAAGCTATTAAATCCTATAGCTTCTCTAGTACTAGTAGCGGTTATAATTCTCTATATAGTTTATATTATTTAGCTTTACTTTATATATAAAGTTTATATTCTTTAATAACTTATTATACTACTTTTTTAAGTTATAGGAAGTTATATTATCGTTTAATCTATTTTATTATTCTTTAGATTCCTTAGTATCTATATATTAAATATTTATATATATCTTATATAACTTTATCTTATAATTTTAGTAATATCTAGATTTTATTTTTATATATTAAAACTTCTAAATATTCTATATTATATCTATTTAGTACTTTATATTCTTTTATCTATTTTAGGATCTTTTAGTATATTAAGTTATTAAGTTATACTTTAAATATTATATTTAGCTATCGTTACTAATAGTTCTTATTTTTATTAATTTCTAGGAGCTATCCTTTCGCTATAAGTGCCTTTATATTATAGTTACTTTATTAACTAAGGGTATTACCTCGACCGTTTTCTATTCCTTTTCTATAGATTATTTTATAGTCGAATTCTAATAAGTATTCGGCCTATTAAATCTATTATCTATTTAACTATTATATTATTATAAAGTAAAAGTTCCTTACTAATAGTTTACTAATATATTAAGAGCTAAAGTATCTTACTAATAGATTATTATAGAAGAGCTATATTAGCTCTTACTATAAGGCTACCTCTAAAAGTACTATAATATAACCCTTTTATAGTAATAGTCTATCTAAGTATATTAATTAAAAACCCTTTTCTTTTAAAAAGTCTTTAGTCTCCTTTAGCTTATTAATTACTACGTTAACCGACTAAGTATATTTTAGTAACTCTAGTAACGGTTTTAGAACTTCTACTATATAAACCTTTATATAGTAGGCCGCTTCTTTAGCGGTCTTCTTTAAGAGTAACTATTTATAACTAGCTCTCTTTTTAGCTTAATTAGCTAATTATTTAGGTCTTATACCTAAATTATTATAGTTTTACTATAGATAAGCTTATATATTTTCCTTATATAAAGGTACTTTACTATACTTATATTAACTTAAGGTTAAGTATCTCCTTATCTATAAAAACGCCTTATTATTTCTTTATATAAATATAGTATTAATAGTAGCTAGTTTCGCTTATAGCTTTAATAATAGTTTTATAAATAAGGGCTTTTTACCCTTATATTTAAGCATTCTTAATAGCGCGTTTACTAGGTTAGATTTACCTATATAATACTTAATTATAAAGTTAAATAGTACTAAATATATATACTATCTTACTTACCTCTTATTTAAAGAGGTCTAGTATATAAACGTTTAAAGGTTATAGTAGTTTAATAATACCTTTACTTTATATACTACCCCTTTAATATAATATTACTATTATTTAAATAACTTAATAATAGCGAAGAGTTCTTAGTTTAGAATACTATAATTAAGTTTAGCTTTAGTAAACTTCCTTAACTAAAATACGATTAAATAATAACGCCCTTTATTATTAAGTTAAGAGATAATCCTTACTATCGTAAATTATAATATATTTATTTCGATATAAATATATCTTTTTAAATTATAATATTAAAGGAGTAAGGCTCTTTAAAAAGTATCCTTAAGAGCCTAAAACGCTACCCTTTTAGTAAGGTTTAGCTCTATACTCCTTAGCTTCTTCTTATTCTTACTCCCTTTTAGTATTATAGTTAAGGGCGCTATAACTCCTAAGTACTTATATATAAATTATTAGTAAAAATTATAAAACCTAAGGAAAACCTAGATATTATAATAGGTTATAAGTTTAAGCTATTAAGCTATTACCTTTACTTATTAAGGGTCTATTAATACCTTATTAATAGATAATATAAACCTAAGGAACTTAACTAACTATTAATAAAAGATATACTTTAATAGTTTTATATAGAGCTCTATAACCCTTAGCCTTTCTATTACTTATCTTAAGTATTTAGTATATTCTTCTCTTATCTTAAAGTATATAAAGATATCGTAAAGGTAAACTATATAGATTATATTTATAAGCCCTTTAAGCGCTTAATAAATATAGCTCTAAAATATAGCTAGTATATTAGTAAGTCTAAAAGGTATTACTAAGTATTTAAAATATCTATAATACGTTTAAAAAGTAGTTTTTTATTTAACTCCTTCTTAAATTTAAATACATTAATATATATTCTATATATTAATCTTAGAAAAATACTTAGCTCCTTAATAGTAGTTAATAATCTCTAAAATAAAGGGTAAAGGGTATTAATTCTTTTAAGTAACCTAGTTAAGTCCTTAGTAGTCTATATATAGCTATAAGGTATTATCCTTTTTTAAAATAAAAAGGATAGGCGCCTTAGCTAAGCTCTTTAACTCTTAGATTATTTTCCTTTTTATCGCGTCTTAGATCTAATTATATAATACTTAGGGTTCTCTTTATAATAAAAGGTAAATCGGTTTATAAAGGGGTTCTATATTAAGGATTAAATTAATTAAGTAATTTATTCCTTTTTTAGCTAATAATAAGTTAGATTTATTAGCTAAGAAAGTATTTTTAAACTAGTAAAAAGTTAGTAGGATTTCGGCCTATTCTTCCTATAAAATCCCTTTATCCTTATCTTTATCTAGTAGTAGGATTAGCTTAGGATTAAGCGCTATTATATATACCCTTACCTTATTTTTATATTCTTAAAGGAATCTATAAGGATTTTATAGGGTTTCGCTACTTAATTAATACTTAAACTATTACTATTATTTCTATAAGATAATATAAATACGTTTATCCTTTAAGGTAGTAATTAATAAAAAGATTAGTACTTAATTATTTAGCGTTAACTTATTAGTACTAATATAAAAATAAGTAATTATCTTTTTAATACCTTTTATATTTATTATTTAAAGTAGTACTAACTATACTCTATACTCCTTTACCTTACTATTACTAAGCCTTAATAACTTAAGGTATAATAGCGCTACTTATAGTAATCCTTATTATTAAGTAAAGTATATATCTATAAGGTTAATAGTATTATAAGTATCTAAGTATATAAGGACTTTAATAAGGTTTTGCCTTAATATTATTATAGGAGTTTTAAGTAACTATCCTATAAATATTAAGTTTATTAAAGGAGAAGCGTTTACCTTAATATCTTACCTTTTTCCTATTTTATAGTATTAAGTTTAAGAGTCTTTACTAAGGTTTCTACTTTTAAAGAATTAGTATATTTTATAAATAGGTATCCTAGCTTATTATATTAAAAATATATAATTCCTAATTAAGGAGAAGATCCTTTTCCTCGATAATATCCCTTAGTTTAGCCTTTAATAAGTATATTACTAGCTTACTAGTTATTAGTCGAATTAGTAGTATTTCCTTAATAATTTAGCCTAGCTTATTAGCCTCTTTAATTTCTTCCTTTATATATACCGCCTTAAGGTATAGTACTACTTTTATTCCTAGTTCTTTTAAGGGTAAAAGTAGTATTAATATATTACTTTTTATTAGTAATAGTATCTTAATATTATTAAGCGACTTATATAAGCTCTTCTTATTAGTAGGTATAAATAGGTATTAAATAAAGGTTAATTTAGTCTTAAAGTTATAGCTCTAGCTTAGTAAAAAATATAAAAGTATATCTCTTTTTTAATAAGCGTTTAAAATACCTTTTTAAGGAGTTAAGGTATAAGCTAAACTTTAAAGGGGACTAGCTTTCTCGTTAATAAGCCTCCTTTAATTATATCGCTAATAGTATCTCCTTATTTATAGTATCTTTAATTAAAATAAGTATCTATTCTTTAAAGTATACCTAATCTATACTATATTTAGTTTAGTTAATCGGCGTTTATTCTTTAAAGTATTAGCGCTATCTTACTTTATAGTTACTATATATATAATTTACTATATAAAGGATCTTTATTTTATCGCGACGAAAGCGTTTAAGCGCTACCTTAAAAGCGTCCTTTAGATCGTAAGTTTAGTTTAGACGTTTCTATATATTAGTAAGTTAAGATAATTAAGCGATATTTTTAATCTTAACCTCGCTACCGCGACTACTATTTAATTTAAGGGAATAGGACTATTAACGCTTTCTTAAATAGATAGCGATAGCGTTAGTACGTTTAGTAATTTCCTCCTTTAATTATATAACGCGGTATTATAAGCGTTTTATCTTCTCTAGCTCCTTAATATACGCTTATAAGGCTATAAGCTTTTTTTTATAAGTCGATAGTCTTATACTTATAGGTAGCGATATCTTCGATATAGTTAGAATATTATCTATAATAAAGGTCTATTTTAAGGATATATCTTTTAGTTCTTTATCTCTTAAGTAAATACTTAATATATATAATAAA